TTAACCGAATTGCAATATCCATGACAATGACCATTTATGTCATAAATCTCATACAAGCAACACGTTTAATCCAAATGCATCTACTACTAATACTCCACCACAAAACCGCTATCCAACATGCATCTCGAGGTACTAAGTTTGCAAGACACTGTATCGCAGTAAGCAAGATGAAATGTAGACAGGAAGAAGTCAATCAATATGGCAAAAACTCGTCGTTTTATCCTTAGTGGCAACAAACAATACATGTCTTGGCCCTTATTGTCACTGGGTTAGATCACTTCAAAATCGAACCCACTACAAAGCATCACGCCTTCTGAAGAAAAACTCATCGAACTTGGCCAAAGAAGACACATAGACCGCAGAGCATGCAAAGCGATCTAATTATACAGCAAGAAAACCTCAGAAGATTTAGTTGATTCCAATGAACTATCTGATCATAAAGTGACAATTCATTATGTCCCAACAGACACAACACTGATTACATCAAATTGATCCTGGTCATGTGAGAAGGCTCACGGGAACATAGTATTGAAGATCCAAAAGAGAGATAACCATCTAGTTACTACTATGGACCCTAAGATCCTAATGGAACCACTCAAACATCATCATGGAGGGGTTCTATCGTTACAAAGCCCTTCCCCTAGCGCATGGCCTTTGGTGTGGGCTCGCAAAGTGTAGTCAGTAGCCCGGGCTCACCGGTTGAGTGTGAGTTTTCTTCGTAAACCATGTTGGTTGTCTTTTGCCGCAATGTTGATACCACTGAAATCACTAATTACCCCCACAAAAGATCACTAATCAAGGGGGGAACATTGAAAGGCCGCTCTCCACCTTCTCTGATGATGACAAGTGGCACACTACATGTGCATCACTTGTCGAAACATGGGAGTTTCTCTTCTTTTATTCGTCGATTCATTTTTTTAATCATTTAATATCTTGAACCGTGTATCTAAATCACGATCCGTTTTCACCGTTGGATCCTCGTGTTGAGATCTTTGAAAGTAGATCCCATGTTAATAGGTTTCGTCGACTATTTTCATGAATAAACCAGGGAATCGCAATAAAAAAGGTGAAATCCGGGGAAACAGATGAAAAAAACTAAATCTGGAAGCACAATTGTGCTTTTTTCACTTTTTTTTGGAAAGCATAGTTATGCTTTTTTTCTTCTTGGGAAGCACACTTTTGCTTCTCGCAGAAGCACAAGCCGTCTTTTTTTTTGAGGAAGCACACCCGTGGAAGCACATGTCGTGCTTTTCTTTAGCATATTTTGTGTTTTTCTCTTTTCAAAGCAACATTGATTGTGCTTCTCGTGGAAGCACATGCTATGCTTTTCCTTTTTACGAGGAAGCACAACTCTGCTTTTCCCTTTTCAGGAAGGACAAATGTGATTTCCATGGAAAAGCACGGCTTCCAAAAAAACATTTTTTTTTCATCAAAACCTAGGGAAACCAAGAAATGCCGAAAAGCCAAAAAAACGTGTGCCAATAATAAAACCGAAATCCCGAGGATGCGTCTCTAGCATCCAACACTTCACGGCGACTGACGCACCATTTGGGGCACTCCCACGGCCCCAAAAGAGGCATATGTGGGAGCCCCTGAAAGGGTACTCGTTAGATATTTGCTCCCCATTACCACCCAAGCAGACAAGGCTTCGTTTCCTATTTGACGCCCGAAGTTTCGCACACGGTAGTGTATTGTCGGGCCCATTATGGCGAAGCATGGTATGGATGGTTTTCCCCCTCTATTTATTTTAGTTTCCAGCTAGCTTTTCACTGAAAACCTGTTGTTGCCCTTTTTTACGTAGTATTTTTAAAATACGAAGATATACCCCTCTCCATCCGTAATTACTTGTGACATAAATATGGATGTATCTAGACGTATTTTTGGTTCTAGATACATCAATTTCTATCCATTTCTGGGACAAGTAATTCGGGACGGAGGGAGCACATTGTAAAAATGTTTAGTTTGTGCTTTAAAAACTCTGGTGTGTGCTTTAAGAAATGTTCACCAGGTATTTGAAGATGATTTTCATATGTTAAAAATGTTCACCCTTTATTAGAAAATGCTCGATGTGTATTAAAATAATATTTATTGTGTATTTTTAAAAAATGTTTAAAGGATGAGAAAGCAAAAAACAAACCTAAAAATACAAAAGGAAAACGACAAAAACAGGTAACCAAAAAGAAAAGAAACAAAACTAGGACATAGAAAAAACAAGAAACGGTAGCTCCCGTTTGTGGACCACCTATTTGACGCGCAAGGCGTTGGCGAACGCATAGCTTCTCTCACGTGAAGGGTGTTCTTTCTTGCGTAGGTATTGGACTGGCCCATTTTCCTCGGGTATTTCGTTATTGTTTTGTTTCTGAGGTATTTCTTTTGTTTGTTTCTTCCGTTTCTTTGGTTTTCACCCCAAAAAAAATCTACAACACATGTCGACAATTTTATAAAATTTATGTATACATTGGAATATTTTTAATATATATTTCAAATTCATGATTATTGTAGGAAAAAAATTATGTTTCAAATTTACCCTTTTCACACATTGTACATTTTCTGTATATACCAGGAACATATTTCAATACATGCTTCACATTTATGAAATATACTTTTAACATTTTTATACATGATGAACATTTCCTAAAAAATTACATTTTTATGTTCAAATTTTTTAAGACATGTTCCTACATTTTTTGTATATATCAATTATTTTGTACATGTTTAACATTTTTTAAATAGATTTTTTTAGCAGTAAACCCCACTATATTAGCTAGGAGTACGGTTCATAGGGATTACAAAGGGATCATGGGGAGCCCCCAACCACAAATGGCGGCCAACTACTAAAGAACAAGAAATTTAGCTAAGTTATGAGCTTCAAAATTCAAAATTCGACCATCAAAGATGAAATCACAGGTTGTGAACTCCTTTTATCTTTCAGTAATCTCCTTGATTATTGCGCCGTTTCTTCCCTCTGCCTTGCCTTTGATATCTACTACCACTGGTTTGCAGTCACAAGCGATGACAACTTGATTCAAAGATAAACCAAGCGCTACAGCTAGAGCTTCACGTCATGCAAGCGATTCTAGTGTCGCTTGATCTGTAATATGATCGAACAACACTGCTGAGGAGCCTAAGTAATGCCCTGAATGACCCTGACACACCACCGCAGCAGCGACTCTTCCTCCATCTCTCGAAAAACCTCCATCAACTTGTAACTTTTGAAATAGATGACTAATATGTTTCAAATATTTGTGTTTGATGACTAATGTTTGGGCCGAATGAGCCAGCGCTTAACCCCCCTTCCCCCCTGGCGCCCTTTTTAGGCCGGCCCATGTGCAGGGCGCATTTTATTTTTCATTCCATTTTCCCACTTGTTCCTTCTCCGTTTTTGTTTTTTCTTATTCTTCAAATTATTTGGGACTTCAAAAAAGTTTTAATTTTAAAAAATTGTTCAAGAAATCATAAAATTTTCGTGGATTTTTTTCTTGATCTATAAGAAATGTTCTGGAAGTCAAAAAACTGTTCATGTTTTAATAAAATGTTCGTGATTTTCATTTTTTTGCACACTCAAAAAATGTTAGCAAATTATTAAAAATTATTCAAAAATTCAAAATGTTAGTTGAATTACAAAGGAAGTCCATTGATTCAAAAAAATTTCATGAACTCGAATATTTCATGCATTTAAAAAAACTCATAAAATGAAAATATGTTCAGGAATTTCAAAATTTGTTCCCCAATTTCAATATTTATTCGTTTATTCAAAAAATATTCGCCTCTTCAAAAAATGTTCATGAGTTTCAGATTAAATGTTCAGAATTTTAAAACATTTCACGAATTTATAAAAAAATATTCACAAATTTGAAGAATCTTCACCATTCCATCAAAATGCTCGCGAATTTGATTGGACGTCACTGGCTAGATGAATGAGGTTTGCTCGATGTACGGCTTCAAAGCTCGTTGCGTAATGCCCATCCTTCCTGACACTCGCTGGCCAGTGACCTACTGCCGCAGTTTACCAGCAACCTCACAGTGGCAGGTCTCCCTTCGTTCGTCGAAAGCCGGACACCGAAGAGATCATTGTCGCCGGGGGGCACGGTGCTTCAGTCCTCATTTCCAATGATGATCAGTCAGCTATAGATGCGTCATGGGCTCATGGCCTCTGAAATCTCATAGTCACGCTACTTAACTGATACATGAGTTTGCCTAAAAAGAAACTTATACATGGGTCATAAGTCTCTGAAGTTCCTTTGAAAATTGCCAAACCTTGCTTGCTGTTGCTGGTCACATATCCTTTCCAGGATCTTCACTCGCCACCCGTGTCAGCAAAATCTCAAGCAACATACATGTAGCAATCTCTTGGTCTCGACCATGGAGGTCAACATCTGCAGATTTTCTAAGGAAAGTGCAGCTTTCATAACGGAGAAGGCTTAATTTCAACCAGTAGGCTAGTACGTGCCCACTTAGTAGAATACACTTGCATCAGTTTCCTAACCTACGTGGACGTCCAATCTAGGGGCAGCATCACGATCACATTGTAGTCTTTCACCAGTACGAGACGATAGGCTAAGATGACCATTTCTTTCGTCCCTGCCTGCAAGAAACTCCCCAGACAATTAATCTGCACCGAGTGAGCTCACAACACGCGATATAAAAATGTGTGCAGGTTTATAGATTGGTGTCATGAACAAGCAATCCAACCTCATCAATCATGAAAACTCCCCATGAAACTATTCATTTTCGACGTATCGCTGTCAGGATCTTAGAAAAATTTCATATGTATGGACTTCGAGGCAGGAACTTGTATCTTCTTGCAAATGTGGGCATCATGTACATCAATTTGGTCACTATCACATTACAATTTACAACCAAGACAAGGTACCACTATTTCTCCCAAGTAAGCAACCGGATTAGCTTCCAAATTCCCATGGATTTCTTTAGGTCCAGATGGCCTATAAAATAGGTAAATTAGAGAAGGAGGGAGGGCAGGGGATAGCTTAAATCAGCTGATGGAAGAAGGCATCAAAGAAGCAGAGTCGAGCAAGAAAGCAGCAGCAGCAGCAGCCGAGGGCACCGGGACCAAAGTGGGCGTCATGGCCGACTCCACGTTAGGGAGCATCGGCGACGTGCTCAAGCTGCTGCCGACGTCGACGGTGATCGTGTACGAGGTGCTCAACCCAATCGTGACTAACGCCGGCGCGTGCAGCGTCGCCAACAGGGTGGTCACCGCGGTGCTCCTCGTGCTCTGCGCCTTCTCCTGCGCCTTCTCGGCCTTCACCGACAGCTTCGTCGGTGCCGACGGCAAGGTCAGGTACGGCCTCGTGACGCCCAGGGGCCTCCTGCCGTTCGGCGGCAGCGACGACGCCGACACCGGGGTAAGAGACTTCTCCAAGTACAAGCTGCGCCCGGCTGACTTCACGCACGCCTTCTTCTCGGTGGTCGTGTTCGCGGCCGTGGCGCTGCTGGCCGACGCCAACACGGTGGCGTGCTTCTACCCGGCGCTCAGGGAGCAGCAGAAGCAGGTGGTCATGGCACTGCCCGTCGTGGTCGGCGCCCTCGCGAGCGTCGTCTTCGTCGTGTTCCCCTCCAAGCGCCACTCGATCGGGTACCCTCCGGCGAAGCCTGCCGCGAACTCGCTGGCGTCGCAGTAGCTAGTCCGGCCGGTGATCTCGATGTATGCGCTCTCCCGCCGTGTGCTACGTGTTTGTGTTTTGCGTGCGTACATATTTTTTTAGTCGAGTTTTGTGTGCGTTTTTTGTTCAGATGTGCCGTTCTCAAGTGGTGTTTTTGGTTCGTCGCGGGTCGCGGACAAGGCCCAAATGTAAAAAAAAAATCGATTTTCTTAACACAGTACAAAAGTAAGTTCAATTCTGTTCATTCGGAAAAAAAGTTCAATTCTGTTCCCTTTTCTTGGTTTTATTTTTTCAAAAAGACAACCGAAGGGCACTTCGGTATGATAAATTTTATTAAAGGAAAACAGTAGCCAGGAAAGATAAAAGGACACAAAACGATCAGCAAAAAATCATATTGATCAATGATCATCTTCTTCTTTTGATTGTACATCGTCCGTCGAAATTTGAAAATTGCAGTGAACCGTAAGGAAAAGCCCGCAAACTTCCTTAACATATTAAGCTTTGAAGACCGAAAAATGAAGAAAGAATCCCATTGCTAGATTGGACTTATTTTAATATGAAATTCCATGTCATTTTCTTTCAAAATGAATAAAATACAAGTGACTTTAGATAATAATTCATGTGAGTAATGACAAGAACTCTTCTACTTCTTCGATATATTCCAATTTAAAGAAATGGAACAAGCCATTCATTGTTAGAAAATAAGATCTAAAAACCACCGAAGAAAAAACGGTTAGGGCATCACCCTATGTAGTTCATGCTTGCTATCTTTCAGTACTATCATAGAAGGTTGGAGAAATCGAACCATGCTGCATAACAAATCGAAAGAAGATGCTGAAATCATAGCACCAAGAGCCAGACAACTCTTTCCCTTGATTTGACACACTAAATGTTTAAATCCGAAGAAAACTAGCAAATCTGACATCTACCCTCGTCAAGATACCGAGAGACCAAAGAGACCTTATTTCAGTGTGTCATTGCTGCCGCAAGACGGCTAGAGAAAGAAAAATGTAAGGAAAACAAAAATCTATAAGGTCACTACTTAAGACATGAGATTAGGCTAAAAGGTCACCACTTAAGACATCAACGAGGGACCACTCATTTCTCACCTTCCCTTTGTATCTCGGAACCATCTCCTTGAGAGTCGCCATTTTCTTCCCGACGCCTTTGCCCTTCTCCTCCGGCGGCGAAGCCGTCGTGAGTGAGCATGCGAAAGGTTGCCAGGTCGCCAGTGTCATGTAGGTTTAGTAGTAGGTGTAGGGCTAGGTCTAGGTGGCTTGCCTTGGTGGCGATTAGCGCTATGTCGTGTCTAAGCTTCGTCCCGATATTGGTTTACGCATGCAACGCTTACACATGTTTTATTTCCTACTGAGTAGAAACCAGGAACATGCTTAGGGTATAGATCATAGGTTTACCACTAGGTGTGCAGTCCTTGCAGCGGAAGAAGAGTCAAAGCAGTGCGTTGATTCGCCGAGTCACCTCGTTCCTCGAATAATTGATCTCGCTATCCCAATTGTACAAGTGCACCGCCTTTAGAGGTATCTGCATATGTGGGGCGGAACGTCAAGCGGTGGGTTGGTAAACCTGATCACATAAAGGTAGTGGAGGCGGTTATATTATGTCGCATGTAAACCTAGGCACGACAACGATCATCACCCAACACGAGCAATGTGACTCTGCTTATATAATCATCCCACCATGGGCTCAACACTTGAAGCCCACTGAACCCTAAAGCCCATAGACTACTTAGCCCATGATCCAAGTTCCCACTTGATCACATATGAGTAGTGCACCTTATATTATGGAACGAAGGAAGTATTTTGAACCTTGATCTTACTTAACACTTCTGTCAGATTTACCAAGGTGGTTTACTTATACTGTCATATATTTATATGCATGCATATTTTGAAGTGCAGACGATTTGTGCTTTCTCATGCTAAAATCTTTTCTAACTAGAGAATCATGCAAATATAGGGTAGCAATTGGACCGAGTTAAGTTTTGACAAATCTTGCTAATTGAATATTTCCCTTTGAAGTCTCTGTTATTGAGCTGGCACATGTTCATACATGCAAAATTATTCCATAATTTAGCCTACATCGTGTACCAATTTAAAAGAATTTACATTATGCATAGGCTGCACCCGGCTTTAATTGTTCAGAATGCATAATTATGATGTCTAGGCTCCCCGATTGTTCGCTCCTAATCCTTATGCTAGTCTACGTGTGTACTAAGCGGGAATGTTTCTTGTGCATCCATTTACCTAAACCCAATTATTTCAAAGAGTCCACCATACCTTCCTATACATGGCTGAAAAATCATTCAAAGTAAATTGTCAACACCGCCCATTTTTGTTGCCAAAGTTTTTAAGGTTTGGGAAGTACGGGTTTCTACCCTCTCTGTAATGGTTGTTATGCAATTTAAATAAACCAAAAAAATGAGAGCTCCAAACAAAGCTTCAAAGCTACAAAGCCGAAAGACTAAAAATAATAAGTTTGATGTTCTGAGACCATTACAAAGAGGGTCCTGAAACTATTCTTCTGACTCATTAAACACTCAAAACAACTTACGAAACTCCGGCATCGCAAGTGTGCTATTTTCACAAAATTAAGCGCATTACAATCCCTGCTTCCATCTGCGAAAGACATGTGTTTTATTTTTATGTTGAGTCAATTCACAATCTCTCAAGCACCAACTTAGTAGGAACCTTTTTTGGAACGTAGACGCACGAAGCGTCCGGCTTTAAATTAATAAAGCCACAAGGCAGCATCCACACATAAGTTTAACCTTACAGACCGAAAGACTTAAGTCTCAATGGCGCGCAGGCCCGAATATGCAAAGTTGCAATAGAACACACGAAGGCTCCTTGTTGTCTCGCTTTCACCATGCACAGCTTGATCTGCTCCATAATCTCGCTCATGCGGTCCTCATCACGCGGTTTCCCCAATGGCACCCAAGCCTGCAGGAAAATATGACATTTGAAAAGAATATCAGCAGGGTGAGCCGGGAACTTGTGTTCAATTGTAATTTTGTTCCGGACCACCCAAATCAACCATAGCAGCGCCCCTACGCAACGCCACAGAAGCCTCGCGTTGACACCCCTATGTGCCTTTAGCAAGTTTAGTAAGTCCTCGCTAGATTGCGGGTTCCAATTCTATTTGAACGTCTCCCTAACGGCACTCCACGCAAATCTAGCTAGGCAACACCCGAAAAACACGTGATTAGCATCTTCCCCGTGTCCGCAAATGGCGCAGGACCTGTTCGCCGGCCCATTCCGCTTGGCCACATTATCGGAAGTAGGGAGGCGGTTGCGGCACAGTTGCCACAGGAAGATTTTGATCTTGAGAGGAATGTCAGCTTTCCATAGCCCCCTAGCCATATCTAGCACATTCCCCTCGGTCGGCTTTGTATATAAGGATTTGACCGAGAATTTCCGGGAAGCCGTGAGCTTCCAGGAGATCTCATCACGCTCCTGGCTCAGAGTCTGTCCCGCTAGGGCGACAACAAGCTCATTCCAGGAGGCGGCCTCGCCGGCCTCCAACGTCCTATAAAATGCTATAGCCGGAGGATGAACCCGGAGCGCGTCGGCGACCGAGATGTTAGTATCAGTGGCTAGTTGGTAAAGCGCTGGGTGAGATTGCCACAACGGGGTTTGACCCCACCATAGGTCAAGCCAAAAATGCGTGGAAGTGCCGTTATGTACGTGAAACTATGCACCCACCATGAAGGCTGGTCTCACCGCTTGGATCTCGTTCCAAAACATTGAACCCTTCGTCTTAGCCTTGAAAAGATTTCCGTCCGGAATATATTTAGCCCGGAGGATATCCGCCCAGAGACCCAACTAGTTTTGGGCAAGGCGCCACCACCATTTGGTGAGCAAGGCTACGTTCATGAGCTTTGAGTTTGTGATCCCCAAACCACCGAACTATTTTGGTCTGCACATCGTAGCCCATTTCACCAAATGATACTTGCGCTTCATCCCAGTTCCTTCCCAAAAGAACCTGGAACGCGGGGTGTCAAGTTTGGTATGAACCCCGTCCGCAAGTAGAAACATCCCCATTGTGAAGAGGGGGAGTGTCGGTGTCAAAACCGGCGGATCTCGGGTAGGGGTCCCGAACTGTGCGTCTAGGCGGATGGTAACAGGAGACAAGGGACACGATGTTTTACCCAAGCTCGGGCCCTCTTGATGGAGGTAAAACCCTACGTCCTGCTTGATTGATATTGATGATGTGGGTATTACAAGAGTAGATCTACCACGAGATCAAGGAGGCTAAACCCTAGAAGCTAGCCTATGGTATGATTGTTCTTCGTCCTATGGACTAAAACCATCCGGTTTATATAGACACCGGAGAGGGCTAGGGTTACACAGAGTCGGTTACAATGGTAGGAGATCTACATATCCGTATCGCCAAGCTTGCCTTCCACGCCAAGAAAAGTCCCATCCGGACACGGGACAAAGTCTTCAATCTTGTATCTTCATAGTCTTGGAGTCCGGCTGATGATGATAGTTCGGCTATCCGGACACCCCCTAGTCCAGGACTCCCTCAGTAGCCCCTGAACCAGGCTTCAATGACGGCGAGTCCGGCGCGCATATTGTCTTCGACATTGCAAGGCGGGTTCCTCCTCCAAATAATTTATAGAAGATTGTGAACACCAGGATAGTGTCCGGCTCTGCAAAATAAATTCCACATACCACCGTAGAGAGAATAATATTTACACAAGTTCAATCTGCTGACGTATTTTGTGGCGTGACGTCACACCACAACCAAGCCTTTACTCAAATCGTTTTTATTATACCACCTCCGTGCGTTTAGCGAAGCGGTTTCCTTGGCACATCTTGTCGAAGTAGAGATCGTGTTCCCTTATTCCGGGATTCTCATCAATACAGACGTGGGTAACCCAACCGCACCCGTTGCCACGCCCCCTCCATCGAAGGCGGGTTCCAAACGGTCACGGGGACGGCTCTTGGTATTCTCCCTCTTTATAATGAGACCAAGGCCCGTTCTTTTTCTTCAATCCT